CTCGGGCGGGAGCCAGCTGAGACCAAGCCCTGCCACGGAACCACCCCTGCAGGAGGCCCTGAGAACACCTGTGGGCAAGAAGGGGCACACTTCCAGATTTTCTTTTAGGGGTGGAAGGTCAGGTGTAAAGACTGTGCTTGGCAAGTCTCTATGAGCCTAGGTCCTGAGCTGGGGAGAAACTGGGGAAGATTTGGGCATGCAAACGCCCCCAGAACTGTCCTGGCTCCTTCCATAGTAAAAGTGTCTGTATTCTGAGAAGTGTCCTTCCCACCTTGGCCGTCCAGAGAGACTTCTCTCATCTTTCTGGGGTCTGTATGGCCTCAGCCGAAACCTGGCCCAGCTGCCAAAAGGAGCTGCGGAGGAGGAGGTGGGAGGGCCTGACTCAGTGCCGCTCTGGGGCTCGATGTTTCCCGCCTCTGTAAGGGTGGACTCACCTCTAATCCAAGTTGAGTGCAATTGAAAGGTTCTTCCAGGGTTTTGTTTTTTCCCTTTTTAACAGCATCACTTAGCGTTACACTGGTTCTGCAGTGTCTCTGAGGTGCAAAGAATGCCCTCTTCCCCTTGGGGCCCTGAGTTTGCCTTTTCTGCCGGGCGTTTACCATACTTCCGTGCCCCAGCCTCTTTCTTTTGGCCTGGTTTGGACCATAGTCGTCTACTACCCGAGACTTTAGAGCCCCCTGCTCTAGAAAACAGTTGTCAGTTTAAGAAATCATTGGCCCCTTCCCAGCACATCAAGTGGGCAAGAAAGAGGCTGTGATTTGGTCACCCAGCACTAACAACAACAACAACAAACAGTTCAAAAACAGCTTCTTGTTTTTGGACTTATTCTCCCAGGGCCTTATGTTCTGGTAACATACTCCTTAGAGCCAGTGGTTAGCACGTTCCTTTTTCAAGGTCCTGGAGAGCTTCCCTCACTCCCCCCATCCTTTCACCTTCTTGGTGAGACAAGAGGGGCGAACCCCTTGAGGAAGCGGAAGGCGGTTCTTCTCTGCGGGTCCCCCAGTGAAGCAGCACGACTGGCACTTAGGTTGTAATCCATGTTAAGCCGAAACAAAGCTATGGTAAATAATAAGAGACTCGGGGCAATGTCTTTTGGTAACTGGGACATTTGTGGGGGCAGGAGGGAGGGGAGTAGATTTTTGAAAAGGAGCAGGGGATCATAATAAAAACTACCACTTAGGGGGCTTCCCTGGTGGCGCAGTGGTTAAGAATCCGCCTGCCAATGCAGGGGACACGGGTTCGAGCCCTGGTCCGGGAGGATTCCACATGCCGCGGAGCAACTAAGCCCGTGCACCACAACTACTGAGCCCGCGCTCTAGAGCCCACGAGCCACAATGACTGCAACTACTGAAGCCCACATGCCCTAGAGCCCGTGCTCCCCAACAAGAGAAGCCACCGCATTGAGAAGCCCGTGCACCACAACGAAGAGTAGCCCCTGCTCGCCGCAACTAGAGAAAGCCTGTGCTCGGCAATGAAGACCCAACACAGCCAGAAATAAATGAATACATAAATAAATTTATTTTAAAAAAACAACAACTACCACTTATAGACTATATGCTGTGTGCCAGGCATCATGCTAGATGCCAGAGACTCTGTGACAAATCAGATGGCACCTCCACCTTCCAGTTACCAGAGAGGTCTTGTCTCAGTAGCTACTCAGACATCACTGAACTGAAATGTTTGAGGGCCAGCAGCTTAAGATCTATCTGCTTCTTGTAAGTGTGTGCAACAGTTCAAGAAATTCCTGTGAGCAGTGATTTCATGGATCTGGCCTATTGACAAAAACAAACACCTAAAATACTTCCAGCTGGTCAGCGGGGGTAATGCAGCACAGGGCTCTGTCTACTGATGCAGTATCCTGCAAGTTCAAAGAGGATAATGCTAAGTGTGTCTGGGAATTTGAAGATTACGTAAGAAATTTATTACACTTAAAACTACATCAACTAAGCCCTTTAAATATTTGTAGGTGGCACCCACTTCTAGACAAAGTTATCGAGACTGTGTGACAAAGGGCGAATATTTTGCGCTTCCAGATTTGTTCAACTGGTATCTCCATTTTTCAGTTAACAGAGAGGTCAGCCTTGTGACTAGTAGGTACTCAGACACCTGAAATGTTCGCATGTAGGTTGAACACTAACAACGTTTGCTAAGCCTGCCCAGTAAGTTGTCTTTTTTTTTTCCCCTTATAAGTGTACCCAACCGTTCAAGAAATTCCTATGAACATGAATACCCTAGATCTAGCCTATTAAGGAAAAACAAATTTCTTCTTTCTTAAAGTCAATTGATTTAAACCAGTGCTCAGAATCAGGTTTGATGGCAAATTTCAACACTGTAAAACTTAACTCATTTTTGTCACGTTACATGTTATCTGACCTGATGATTTGGTTCCCAAAAAAGCAGAAAATTGGCAAACTATTTGCCTTAATCATTCTTTTTTTTTTTTTTTTTCTGGCCTTGTAGCAAGCGGGATCTTGGTTCCCCAACCGGTTTTGCCTTAATCTTTTTTTTTTTTTTTTTTTTTCTGGCCTTGTAGCAAGCGGGATCTTGGTTCCCCAACCGGGGATTGAACTGGTTCCCCCGGCAAGTGGAAGCACAGAATCCTAACCACTGGACCACCAGGGAATTCCTCCTTAATCATTCTTGTACTGCTTTAGGACCACATATTTTTATATTGGAGATGTGTGTCATGTTTTTCTACCAATTTATGTGCCTGACCCAACCCATGAGAAAGTAGCCAAACTTTCCAGGTACGTACAACATACAGTGCTGGCGTCAAGCTGGTCCAGCTGGACAAGCAAGCACGCCGGAGGCTTGGTAAGACACAGAGATAATCCTCACAAAGATTCAGAGGCTTGCAAGCCTCCCCAGCCTGTTGCCTCGGGGTATGACGGTCAGGGGTGTGCTGGGACACACGTGCTAAGTGAAAGACGGATTGCAACTCCTGGCATCCCTCACCACAGAGGAAGAAGCCTCTTTGGATTCTGGTGATGCATCCCACCCTCAGGACAACCCCTCCAGTCCATATACCAGGTGACCCAAAGGCACCCCTTCGCATGGGGCCTGGAGCAGGAAGGAAGTCTTCACTGGGCCCAGGCTACAGGCAAAGCAGTTCTGCTCGGGCCACATGATCCCACGGGCCTGAAGCTAGTGGAGGTGATGCTATGAGGAGCCATCGGCCAGCTCAAGGGAGAGGCACATGCAGACCCAGCTCTGCTCCTTGGAAAACAGCCCCTGATTATGCTACAGGGCTCTGGAAGGGACTGAATGTCCGACCATGGACACCAAGTGGCCACACAGCAGCACTGCCCATCATGACCTGGGTTCTGTCAGACTCATAGGACCAGGGGAGCCCAGAGACAATCCATAACAAGATGGTGCATCCAGGCTGAGCCCAAGCAGGACAAGAGGGCACACGTGAGCTGTGTGAGCAGTAGCCAGACCCCTGCCCCCACCATGGCTGCACTTGTCACACCTCTCCCCACCTCAACTGACATGAATAGCCACATGGTGGCAGGGGTCCCCTAAAACCAGATGAAACAGGAAGCAAGTGTCCACACTTGATTAAGAGGGGTTGGCTCAGTGAGAGATTTCAAGCCAGAAAATGGATGGCAGCTTCATTGTAGCCACACTCAGCAGTTACCTTGAATGACAGTGGCATGGGGAAATCTTCCCGATGGGCAGTGTACCTGATTGCATGTGCTCAGTGAAAGGAAAAACAGCCCAGGATAAAAATATATATGGACTCACGGGCAGTGGTGAATGACCTGGCTGGCTATTTGGGGCACCTGAAAGACCAAGGATGAGGAGGTCTGGGATGGAGGATGCCTATGTGGATGGACATCAGGGTGTGGGCTCAGGGTGGGAAGACCTGGAGAGCGCACACCATGCTCAGCAGAAAGCATCCACCACAGAAGAGGCGCCCGCCAGTCAGCTACATCGACAGACGGACTCAGCCTGTGGACGTCAGCCAGCCTTTGTCATCAGCCACCCCAGCCCTGGAAAGAAGGTCACAAAAATGGAGTGGCCATAGTGCCAGCGATGGACAGCCGACGTGAGCCCCATGGCGTGGACTCCTACTTGCCAAGACTGCTCTAAATACCTCTGCATCTGAACGTCCAACCTCCCAGCGACTGAAACCATCCCAGAGACCCCACAGTGGCACTATTTTCTGATAGAACCAACCAGCCACTTAGCAGCAAGTTTACAGCATCCTGGGAAAGTGCACAACTTGCCCTACAGGAATAAGCATTATTCCAGGCCGGATTGGCCTTCCTGTCCACAGAACCTCAGCCAGCACCACACCTGGGGGCTGTGAAGTGTCTGACCCGCCTAGCGTTCACCCTAGAGACCTACTTCAGCATCCTGCACATCCCAGCCCCGGCGGGACCCAGCACTTGAGGCCCTGCCCCCAGCACAGCGGAGGGGCCCGTTTGGAAACAGCCCTCTGCTGCCAGGATGAGATGCCCTCTTCCAGGTCGTGTGCTCTGAGCCTGAGGCCTCTGTGGTGGTGTCTCCAGTAGAGAGGACGCAAGGGTCCGAGAACCAAAGGGCAGAAGTGGGAGCATCCTGCTTACCATCCCTCTCCAGGGCCCACTGGGGGCCTTCCTGCTGGCCATCCCTCCCCCTCTGCACTCTGGAAAGCCAGGGCACACAATGAAGTGCCCACCGAGCTACAGGATATGGCTGCTTTGTGCCCGTGTGTCCAGACACCCAGAGGTAAGGGGACAAGCCCCACCTTGGCAGGGGTAATTGGCTCTGAGCACCACTAGGGGTAGAGCTGCCGCCCCACAGCAGGGGCAGCAGTCACCGCGGTGATCCACTTGGGACCACTGTGGCCAGGAACGGTCAAGTGCAGCAACACCAACCCGAGAAGAGGATCGGATCCTCAGAAATGAGGGCTGGGGTCACACCACCAAGCCAGCCACCAGGACTAGCAGGACGGACAGAGGAGGGCAGGAGGAATTGAACGGACAGTGGCGGAGGGACCAGCGCGGGTCGCCATGGCCCTGAGTCCTCGAGCAGCAACAGACCGTATTTCGTCCCACTGCCCAGGAGCCCTGGAGTGGCTGAGCAGAGCCCTGTGGCAGGCGGCGGACAGGGCTGCCAGGGTGGGTGCGCTTGAACCTCCCTCCAAGACAGAGCCCACTGCCAGTGACACTGTAGCCACAGCGTCTGGGGGCTCCATCCAGCCTTCAATCGCAGCCATGCCCTTCCAGGCAGCCCCCAGCCAAGGACTGGCCAGGACCGTGTTTGCCCAAAGTGGGAGTCCTTTAAGGGACAGCCTTGACCCTGGCCCTCCCGTTGAGCTGACCAAGGCTTCGCCAGATTGCCAGCCTAGGCGAGGGCCCTCCCTGCCCGGCCCTGCGGCTTTCCTCTGTCCCTCCCACACGCGTGCGTCAGGCCCACATTGTGACCTGCGAGCTTTTCCCGCTCTGTTTTGCTTCCTCTCCTTGCGTCTTTCACAAGCTTTCCCCCGCCCCATGTATCTCCTATCACTGCCAGAACGTGTTACCACAAACCCGGTGGCTGCACACAATAGCAGTTTGTTGTCTTACAGTTCTGGGGGCTAGAAGTCTGAAATCGAGGTGTCAGTAGAGCCGCGCTCCCCCTTGAGGACCGAGGGAGGAATCGGTCCCAGCTTCCGGGGGCCCCTAGCCCTTGGGGTGCCCCTTGGCTCGTAGCCATGTCACCCGTCTCCACCTCCGTCCTGAACGTGGCACTCTGTCCTGTGTGTCTGCTTCTCTTTAGTCGTGTCAGACTAAAGGCCCAGCCTGCTCCAGGGTGACCGCCTCCCAGCTTACATTTTGATCACATCTCCAAGGATCCTCTTTCTAAATAAAGTCACGTTCACGGCTACCAGGGGTTAGGATTCCAACATATCTTTTTTTCTTGGGGGCAGGACCCGATTCAACCCACACGCCCCCACCAGCCCACTCACATCCACTGTCTGCTTCCAGAGGCCCCAACTGACACAAAAGGTAAAAAGGTGATTGACATGTCAATTCAGTTTACATAGAGAATTAATTATTCAGTCATCTAGCGGAATGCACCAAGTTTGACTTTATTGATCATTTCCTTAAAGCCCAGATACTGTGAAGCCTACTGTGATATGTAGATTTCTATCAGATAGAAAAGGTCAGCCCAGAGGTTATTGCCCTGTAGGACATTAACCCATTTTGTCTCTATTAGCCAATTCATTTCAGTGTTCCTGGGACTGACTATATAAATCTCTGTTCCTCAAATTCCCTTTTAAACCAGACTTGTTATCTTACTGGTTCCCCCATTAATTACAAGTTGAATAAAATCTTTGATAGGTGTTCCTTTTGTACATATTTGAGAGTCACACTGCAAACTTGTTGACATTGTGCTTTAAGAGCACCTTGGACCTCCCTGTGACCATGAACTCACCCCCTGCATCCCGCCTCCCAGGAGCCATGGGCAATCCAACCTGAAAGAACAAATTTCTGTGGGCCAGCCTTGCAGAAGAACCACGAGCCCATAATCTTGACACCATAAATGCTTAATGCTCAAAGGTGACAAATTTTCATTGCATTTTATCACCTGATAAATCTATGAAGTTGGTGACTAATAGGAAATTGAAGGCCATTTTACAGTTGTTCAAATTCAGATTTTGCATATGCTAGAATAACGCACGGCCGACAGTTTGATAGGGCTCTGCTACCTAATTCAAACCTCACTATGAGCAACATTACACACATTTTTACAGATGAGAAAATTGAGTCTCAAAGGAATGTAAGCAATCGGTCTGTCTCAGGCAGTGCAGGAAGTCAAGTCCACATTTCCAGCCTCTACACCAGCCTTCCTCACGTCTAAACTGCTGAAGAGGGTTCTCTTCCTAAAAGTTACATCACATGTGCTTTACCTAAATATGTGTGAATCTATTAATTATGCAAACACAGAAAATAATGGGACATCTACCAGGAATTTCTAAAGTAAATACCACCATTATTTCTCTGTATCTTAGCACAATACAAATCATTACATACTCAAAAGTGAATCCAAACTCTAAAGTGAATCATGTTTATTCTTTCTTTCTTTTTTTTTTTATGTTGAGGTATACTTGATTTACAATGTCATGTTAGTTTCAGGTATACAGCACAGTGTGTGTGTGTGTGTGTATGTATATATATACATATATATATATATATATATATATATATATATATATATATATCCCCATATATACATATCTGTGTGTGTGTGTTTTGTGTAGTGGGACAGAAAAGGGGTGATGCTTTAATAACTATGGCTTTTCCACATTCTAAGACGTGGAAGAATTATATTGGAGAATGATTGCTCTTTTGTCTTAGAGAACAGTATTATAGCCCTTCCGGTTACTTCTTCAGAAAAATATTAAGAAAATAAGGAACTTGGGGCCTTAAGTCTAGGGTAAGTGTGACTATGGGAAAGGGACTGTGCATAGCAGCAAGCAAGGCCCAAGTAGGGAGAGAAATACTCAGAGACACCAAGAGAAAGGACTTTCAACATTAACTTTCAAGTTTTCCTTTCCTGCACTGAAATGCCCTTATGATAGGGAGCTTCAAGCATTTAGTAGATCTCCTCAACTGCATCCCAACATCAACTTTCTATTAGCAATACCTGGCGTTAAAAAAAGGAGCACAGGAGCGAGTTAGGAAGAGCAGCTTGAAAGAGCAATTTCAAGACAGCAGGAAGCATCCAACCAGAAGAGGCAAATCCATAGAGGCTGAAAGTAGATTTGTGATGCTAGGGGCTGGGAAGATTCAGGAGAAATGGATACTGTCTTCTAATGGTACAGGATTTCTTTTGGGGATGATAAAAATGTTCTAGAATTAGACAGTGGTAACAGTTGTACAATTCTATAAATATACTAATGACTATTGTGCACTTAAAATGAGCAAATTTTATGGATGTAAATTATATTTCAATAAAGCTTTTTTTTTTAAAGTGATTGGCACAGCAGCTGGGAGAAGGAAGTAATCAACAACACTGAGCATGCTCAAGGAATCCTCAGAAACACTAGTCTGAAGCTCTGTACTTCTCAGGGTTATTTAAGGTGAAGGATTAAGTTGTTTTATTTGAATATTAAATGAGAGATGGACCAAAAAGCCTGGAGATCTTGGGGACTTGGTTATAATTGCAATTGGAGGGCTTCCCTGGTGGCGCAGTGGTTGAGTGTCTGCCTGCCGATGCAGGGGACACGGGTTCGTGCCCCGGTCCAGGAAGATCCCACATGCTGCAGAGCCTGGGCATCCGGAGCCTGTGCTCCGCAATGGGAGAGGCCACAGAAGTGAGAGGCCCGCGTACCGCAAAAAAAAACACAAAAAACAAAGCAATTGGACCCCTATCTCTATTCTGTTTTCATTGTACCTCAACTGCTCTCTGGGTCCCTTAGTGCTCACAAACAGAAAACTGTTCGTACATACAAACGTATAGGTTGGATCCTTTTCCTTTTTGAGGACAGCAGAAAGGAATCATGGATAGAGTCTGGGTCCTCACTGAGTTGCACAATTAACAAGCATTGGAACTGCCCACCACCACTCCCACCTTCTCCAGCTATATGATGTCAGGTTGAGTGCTTCTTACCAAGAGGCAGAATAGCATAATGGTGAGACAGATGGGCACTGGAGCTAGACCACCTGGGTTCAGATCAGCTCCCACACCTACAAGTTACCAGCTACGAGACCAGGGCAAGTTATGGAGCCTCTTCATGCCTCAGTTTATCCTTTGTATTATTGGGATAATATTAATGCCAACCTGTAGGAATATTGTGAGAATTACATGAATTAGTCCATATAAAACACTTAGAACTGCATCTAGCAAATAGCAAGCACTGTAATAATAAACCTCAGGTATTATTATTTATAATAGTGTGCAATACACAACATTGCTCCAATGTCCAGTGAATTTGTGAAGCATGAATGTGGGATATATATATATATATATATATATATATATATATTCTTTTACAGATTCTTTTCCTTTTAGATTATTACAAAATATCAAGTAGAGTTCCCTGTGCCGTACAGCAGATCCTTGCTGATTATCTATTTTATATACAGTAGTGTGTATATGTTGATCCCAGCCTCCCCCCACCCCCTTTCCCCTTCGGTAACCATAAATTACTTTTCTATGTCTGTGAGTCTATTTCTGTTTTGTAAATAAGTTCATCATTTTTTTTAGATTCCATATGTAAGTGATATCATATGATACTTGTCTTTCTCTGTGTAACTTACTTCACTTAATATGATAATCTCTAGGTCCATCCATTATGCTGCAAATGGCATTATTTCATTCTTTTTTATGGCTGAGTAATATTAAATTGTATATATATATATATATATATACACCACATCTTCCTTATCTATTTATCTCTTCCAGTATGTCACAAATACTGCTTGTTTCACATACCAGCTATATGCATATTAATGCCCAGTAGGAAGGAAACCTGTTTAGCTTTGGCTTAATGTGTTTACTAAGAAAATTTATCCAAATTTTGGAAAGAGGAAAAAGGGATTATGAGTTGTTGTTTCAGTGTCCCACTCAAAGTTTCTAACAAGCTTGCTAGAAAAACCTTCTGACTTGCTACTTAGTATTGGTTAGGATGTTTTAAAATTCTAAAGGAGATTAACTTGAAGAAAACTGATAGCACAGCAACTGATGTTTGTCTTAGAGTAGAGCTAACCCCCTAAAGTATCATTTATTGCCCTGTGGGAAATTAGCCATGTTTGTAGTAATGCAGTAATCTCATTCTACATTTAAAAATAAAGTCTTTCCTGGGCTTTCCTGGTGGCGCAGTGGTTGAGAGTCCGCCTGCCGATGCAGAGGACACGGGTTCATGCCCTGGTCCGGGAAGATCCCACATGCCGCAGAGCAGCTGGGCCCATGAGCCATGGCCGCTGAGCCTGCGCGTCCGGAGCCTGTGCTCCGCAACAGGAGAGGCCACAACGTGAGAGGCCCGTGTACCGCAAAAAAAATAATAATAATAAAAACAAATAAAGTCTTTCCTGATTAACAAATGGACTCTTGTTCCTCAAATTACTCCTTGAGGCTTTACCATCCTGCTGGTCCTCTCATTAATGACTTAATCAACCCTTGACACATTTTG